TCCAGATGACAAATATGACCCTTTTTCAGTTTAAGAGGTTAAGCGTTCTTGCGCGAAACCGAAGGTCCTTGGTTCGAGTCCCACATATGGGATCGTGGATGTGCACTTCTGAGAAGTCCCAAACTAGGATGAAATGGTTGTTTTTAATACTTCCAGATTTTTAATGGTGGTCTGTCTTAGATCGACTCATGAAGTCAACTATTAACATCATTACAATCTTCACAAATCCCCGTTCTTAAGATTTATTCTTTGTCTAATTGATTCAATTGCGATATTTGTACGTTTACAGTGACGGTGTTGTCACGACATTAAGTCAACAACAACAACAACAATCGGTGTTTAGAAAACATACGTTAATCTCTAACTAATAAAGTCTTGACTGTACTCGCAGATTTATTACACATCAATAATAATGATAATGATATACAGTTAATTGCAATAAAATTACATGTGTGTATTAACTCTCTTGATAACATCACCTTATAGCATTTCCGGTGAATTTACTACTTTTCTTAAGTAGTCTATTTTCATTTGAATTTGAACACTTGAATTAATCATTTCAAGGCGGAAAATCAATAAAACTAGTTTTTATTCTAGGGTGTAGTTTTGATTGTTTGATTTAACATTTCACATCATGAACTGACTTGAGTCAGATAACCATTGAAAATCAAGAATCATAAGACCACCTTCTTGTTCTAGTATCAGGACTCTTCAATGGTGTACATCCATGATCCTGTTAATGGTATAAATCAGCATCTTCAGACTTCATAGAGTTCTAGTAAGAAACTGTGATTAGTGCAGTTCAATTATGTCAGGTATAAGACAAATATTACCAACAGAAATTCACATTGATCCCACAATATTGAAAATCAATTAAAGTGAGAAATGTGAACGATATAATACAAACTATAAGTAGTCTTGACTTTGATCCCTAATGGAGTCATAGATGCTCACTACTGAAGATTCCTATATCAGAAAGAAACGTATTCAGTTCTTGCTAATGTCCACTGGTTGTCTAACTTAAGTCAGTCCTTTATGGAAAATGCAAGAGTAACTTTTTATACATCTTCGTAGTTACCATTTAATTTACTGTATTTTTTTATTAAGTCCACATAAATATGTACATTTGTTAGTGTATTGACATATCGATCAATTGTTTTGTTTTTATTGGAGAGATCCAGAATATTCCTCGAAAAAAGCCCAGAAGGATCCTGAAAACGCTAGAAAACATTCTATCCAATCAACATTGAATAGAAGTATTTTAGAAACATCTAGAGAGTGAAGAGTCACGTGTCACATTTCTGATAGGATGATTAGCTATCCTGCTACTATGTTTAGGAAGGTTCCAGAAATCCGAAGTCACCTGAAATGCCATAAATATCCTCGATTTTCTGTACATAAACGAAGCTTCGAGTCTAACTTCAATCGCAACCATCTTCTATCGTCTTCAGTAGGTACTTCCCTGAGACTGAGGGCTCTAGGTCTGATTCTCGTTTACAGAGTAGTGTACGCACACCACTATAGAGTCCCATAATAGAAAGAAATATCCATTCGGCCATTTCAGGTTGTGTAACTTTGATCGATTTTTAATTTCGATTTAATTCAACTGTCCCAATAACCTCATATCGATCAAAACGATTTTCCATTTAGAAATTAAAACACTATAACTCAATTAATACCAAATTTTACAATTTATGTCCTACTGTAACCGACAGAAAATATTGTGATTTTATATTCTTTCAAAGAAAAAATTACGCACCACTCTTCACAACCTCATTAATGTTGACGTTTGATAAAAAAAATAGCGATTGAAAACAAAATAATATTTACTACAAAAATCATGTAAAACTTGAAGTTTGTGAGGGAATTCTCGGAGTTCTAGTGAGAGGCCGTGACCGGTGGAGCTAATCTATGTCAAGTAGAGACAGGTATCTACCTCAGTACAATGAAAAATAGTCGCGCAGTTTCGTGGATTGGTTGAGGTTAAACATTAGCACCGCTGGATGTCGACCAGCTCAGTGGTCTAGGGATTAAGTGTTAGCGCGCGAGACCGAATTTCGTGGGTTTGAACCTGGAGAGCGGGATCATCGATGCGCATTGCTGAGGAGTCCCACAACATAACGAAACAGCTGTCCAATGCTTCTAGCAAAATAATATAATGGCTTATTATTGATATGTTCACAAAAATATCATCTATTGCTTACATACATTGTTAAGATCGATAATACAATTTATATCTGAGATGAATAAACAAACTAAGAGATAAATTTCGTTTTTACACTTAATCTTTTTTTATTCATGTTATTTTGCTTTGTTGGGCGGTTGCCCCAAACTGGTAACGATGTAATAAACGCTGCCTATGGTACAAATCCAATCTGTTGTGACTTTGTGTCTGGCTTTTTATCACGTGATTTATCTACTAATCAAAATACGACTTATACAATCTTAGCACTGTGTCCAACAAGTAACGTTCGACCGGTATGAGCAGACTAGCGTCCGTATTGGTCCTATGTCCGCCTAGCCCATCCACTTGAGTCCAGAACACTAATACCAGCTTCCACTATGCGATGCGAATCGAATCGAATCATTTACTTCAGACATACTGGGTTTATATATCAAACAAATAGACCGCAACGCACCATAAAATAGGAAATAACATTTGTACACAATAAAGCCAAAAAGTGGCTGTGAACGTGGGAGGCAGTAGTCAATAAACTGAACCTAGCTTAAGAACAGTAAATCGTACAATAATAAATTATAGGTCAAAATAAAGCTTATAACAAGTGGAATATCGATATACATAATCTAATTATTGAATAGTTATACCATAAGAATATAAAGATAATATTAGTCAATTAATATGTCTCAGAAGTTACTCGTGATTTAATCTTCACTCGGATATAACACAATCTGCTATTTGAGTAGAAAAACTGAGGATGATTAGAAAGCTTTTATTGACAAAATCGAATAGAAATATATGCATGAACTCATTCAAAAGAATGTATTTGTTTCTCTTAGATAATCAGGTCAAACCTTGGCCAATAGTTGCGTGCGTTTTTCAGTATCTTTCATCGATTATCTGACCCTGAACTGATACGTTTGGTTGACCCAATCTATCGTTACCTATAAGTCATGTGTTAACGATTCTGACCAATTTGACTTACGTCATATGAACACGTTTAAATGCTCCCTATTAGAAATGCTTTTTATTTAAACTATTTACAATCCTGTTAGCTGTAGTATTTAAACTATCACAAGTCAGATTCTCTCTTAACCTGGTTTTCGGACTAGTTGACACTCCTCAACAGCCAAACCTGCAATCTCCATGTGCAGTTCAAACATAGGTCACCAAAATTCACTGTTTAACATCTTACTACTGAGTTGTTCTGCCAGAGACTGGCCTTCTGTGGGAACTGAGAAGTTCAAAGCTGACTGATCACTTAGTAGATCTTTGGTAGTGATTAGGTTATTTTAACGAACACATAAATTGTAGTACATCAGGCTGAATAGCCAAAAATGTATTATAGTAATTTGATTCCCTCTAAGTCACGAATTGATTAAAGTTTAATATGTAAACTTTTGTATGGTAGCTCAATGGTCTGAAAATCAAGCTCTTCCCATAAGTCCTGAAGATCCTGGGTTCGATCGTTAGTGAGATTAGAGCTGCACACTGTTGAAGAATAGTCCCATGCTAGGACGAAACAACTATCCAACCCTTCCTAGTTTTCAATGGTTGTTTAACCATAGTATACAACTATGAAAATCCACCTATTCTTCACAAACTTCCTACACTTGATAATTTAAATATTTTTGACATGTAGAGTATTCAAACCAGAATAGTTTCTGTCCCCGATGTATCGTTGTCGAATAAACAAGATGATTGTATTACTTGCTCTCTTTTGCCACTTGGAATTACTTACTATTCAATGGAATTGGTGTGAAAGGATTGTTGTTTTCTTTATATTCTAAATGATTCTAATCACTAAGTTTCAGCGCCACCGAATACCCTGGTACGGCCAAGAGTAGGATGAGTTAGCTCTTCCTCTCGAAATGCTCTCACATGGCTACGCGTATACGGCCTCTACTAGAGACGTTCTACTCACTGCCTTCTCGCTACGACTGGGTGTTGCCTACAAAATTGAAAGGACGAAAAGCAAATGTCCGGCACTTTAACCGGGTTGGTGGACAAGGAAAGTTCACCTAGGACAGTTGGGAAACCCTGATTCTAAACCAATGGGCTTCAGGATCCTGAAGGAAAAAATAGCGTATGAACCAATCTTTGGTCACTGACTATTATGGAACTGCATTTCCTGACGTTGCTCCACTGCCTTGTGGATCGGGTCTTTAGGTCGAAGGCTCCGGATGTGGCTCCCTAAGAAAACCATCTGCTTCGGTTTAGGCACCCGATCAGTATCACAACCCTCACACAAATCAAATGAGATTTATGTAGCGCATATCTATGTGGTACCTCTTTGTACCAATATTTATTTGTTCAAATAAATAAATAATAAAACTAGGTTTCAGTGTTTGAATACATTCAAAAGCGTTAGATACCCTACTATCGTTTTGGTTATTCATAAAATGTTTATATCGTTCATTAGTAATTGCTGAATACTGATAAATCAATAAATATCCTTATAATATGAACTGATTATTCTCCCTACTTTAGTTACATTCATTAAATCATACCTATCGGCGTTGATCTAAACAACGAAATTTCAACTCACCGGTTTCATACATGACTATCAGATTGTTGAATCGTGTTTTTTTTTTCTTTTGCACCGTTATGAATATTCTTGACTTTTTAATTCAAGCATCTAATTTGTCGTACTTTTGATTTACCCTACATGATTATTTTGATCACCTTAATCACTCGTGCATAGTGTACACTCTATTTCTTACCCTCAGTATTACGTAATCATTATTCTACCCGATGTCACTGCATCCGTCCGCTTACATTAACAAATGTCTTATATTTGTTTTGTTTTGTTTTTGTACAGCGAATACTGTTCCGTCAAAATCATTAATTTCATTAGACGATAAAATCGCTCAAATAGCTGGAAATTTGTCTATTTGTGACAGTTATTCATCCACACAAGTTGGTCGTATTTATCGTGCTCCCGATGGAAGTTTATCTACAATCAATTGGTCTGGAACTATGCCATGTGTTCAAGTTTCAACAGTATCTAATCAACATATGTCACAAGTTTCAACTATTCATCCATCACCTTCTTTGAATCAAATAATAGGTCCAGTTAATACTAATCATCAACCAACTGCTTCGATTCCATTGAATTCAACTAATCCATGGGCTGCGTCAGCTCAGTCTAATGTGAGTTCATTTTCAAGTCGGTGCGCTTTTAATCTTTAATAAATTCGATATTTGTGTAACTCAATTCAAGAGCTAAGTATTTTAATGTGGTAATTAAGTTTGTCTAGCGATTGAATCCAAGCATTATCAATGAACAGTAGTTTCTAGTTTTTTTTATTATTTACCTGTTGTCACCTCGTATGTTTTGTGTAATTTTTAATCGTTTTCTGTTTTATTTATTTCACGATGCCAACTCTCACCTTGTTAGTAGTTAAGAGGTAATAGTATTTCTTCTTGACCATCATCAACTGACTATGTTCTATCTCTCTGTTTTCAATATTGTCGGTGTTCCATCTTACTTGGGAGATCTAGTGGTCCTTCTGGAACACATTCCGTGTTTTAAAGGCTTACAAGCCCACCGTCTGAATGTGATCTTGTGGGGACCGCGGCTCACTGGTCTTTGTATACATAATGATATCACACCGAAAAACAACTAAAAAAGTCCGCAATTTTACTTGCCCTGCATATGTATAATCTACTTGCATACTAGTTAACACACATACTTTCATACGAGTATCATTTGGCATACATGCAGTTTTATCTACCCTATGAGCAAATATATGTAACATGCACACCGGTAACACATATTTTATCCCATGCATCCCATAGAATACATATAGTTGTATTCACCCACCTGGAAGGGTAGATGTTCACCGTTCCCTTTGAAATGTATTTGCTACAACAGAATATCTCTTATACATTACATCCATATTATTCAGTGCATAGATACCACCCTTGTACTTCCTGACACACACAAGCATAAGTACTCTCTCGAGGGAGGTTTTTAGTCGCCTCACGCTAGTACTTGATACCACCTATTATTATTATGTCTTCGACCTGATGGATAGGTCACTGATTTTGTTAAACATAGGGTAGATATTTTGCAACTAACGTTTCCTTTGTACGACACCAAACACATACCTCTTGCACATATATACATGAACTACATAGGCCTGAGGACTTCTGAAATTCTTATTCATAAGCATGTGCATCAAATAGCTCGTTACAGTTAAGTGGGCCTCGAGTTGGAATCCGAGTTAATTTATTTTATTTTTTGTTATTATAAGAAGCTTTATTCAACATTATACTTTTCGTACAACATAGAATTCTCAGCATAAAGTATTTCAACAAGTTTCTCTTTTCTTATATCTTGATCGATTGTGACGATAAATTTTGAATGATGACCAGTTAGATGTTAGGAGTTCGGTAATCCACATTTGATTAATGTTCATTCGTTTCAATGCATATTGCCAGCCACCATGATGTCGCTGATTGTACCTTTCTGTATCCCGTATAGCGAAAGGTTGTAAACTTTTCATAAACGCGCCCGAATAGATTGTGAGCACAATAGACATTTTGATGTGCTAAAACAAACAACAAAACATAACTTGAAGAAATATCTAGATCGAAGGAACAGGTAGCCCAGATATTCAAGCAGGCCGCCGGATCACTAGTCCGATCTCCATCGACTGCTTAATTTGGCTATCAGGGTTACCCCCACTATCCAGCAGCGCTGTGAAGAGATCTTGGGTCGCATTTTGTTTCATTCTCTATAATGAATGCCCCAATTCAATTATTTACACTTAAGTTATTGATAAATAGCTATAAAACAGCATTATTAGTCAGTGGTTATCGTAATGTGTTTAGTGCTCCCTATTAGTGCCCTGATACGGTCGAAATTTAGGAAATTCTCACCACAGGTAATATAGATTTTGTTGCGTTAGTATTGTTTAGAAAATTGAAAGAATGTAAAGCAAATATCCTGTGTGTTTTAACACCGGATAAGTATAAAAGATCCATTTTTGGAAGAGTTGGATAAACGCTGATTCCGAGATTATATCTTCTTTAGAATAACATTCTCATATTTTATTGTTTCATTAAAGTTCATTATGAATAATCCATGATTGAATTGTTGTTTCTTTCTTTCTATCTTTTCATCTTTCTATAGATTTCATATCAAACTCAATCATTTATAAATAATCCTATTCTATTGAATAATAATGATATAATAGTTCATCGTTCAATGAATAATCCATTTCTTTTATAAAAAGAAAAAAAATTTATTTATCATCTAGGTATTCTGTTGGTTCAATCACTCCATATATATGATTCCTTTCGTTCACTTTTTCACTGTTTGTTGTCATATTCATATTAGTCTACCTATGTAAGTATATGCGTATACAGTATATATATATATATATGTGTGTGTGTGTGTGTTTGTGTATCCATCATGAACGAATAAAAAAAAGGAAAGACATATCCTTCCCTATCTCTTCATCAACTATTTTATTGATTAATCGATTGATTTCTTTTTCCTGCCTTTCTTTATATATAGATGCATACATGTGTGTGTGTGTGTATGTATTGTGTGCATGTCTATCCAACTGAATTTTTGTCTGTCATTAAGTACACGGAGTTATAATTCACCTTTCTTTCTATGATTATTATTATTATTAATAAGTAGTAGGTTTATAAATGGGGAAATAAAGAATCCGTGTTGTGTGTTGTTTTGTTTTGCATTCGAGTTGTGTTTTGTTTTTTACATGATTGTGTTTGTGTGTTTCTATGCCGTTGATAATATTTTATGTTTTATATATATACAGAATAATAAGATTAATAATAATAAGTCTCTTTTTATTTTGTCACACAATAATGACCCTATTGTGTTCCAAAGATGTATATGCTGTTTTTTTTTCTTCACCGTTCCCTTTGAAATGTATTTGCTACAACAGAATATCTCTTATACATTACATCCATATTATTCAGTGCATAGATACCACTCCTGTACTTCTTTGTTCTTCTATGTATGTTGTGCAGTGTATGCAAGTATAATTAGTTATATATATATATATATATGTATATTCTCTTAAAATATTATGACATTCATATCATTGAAATTATACCGATCTATGCTTACAAATATCCTATATATTCATCTTATCATATGGCCTATAGACGGTTAAATGAATTGACCTATTGTTTATTTAATGCACCCTTCCTCTCTTCCCCTCTCCTTCTTCTTTTTTATGCTTTCATTCTACATCATCTGTTTGTTACAAATGAGATTTCTGTGTATGTGTGTACGGGTGGGTTCCCAACTATTTTTGTCTTTCTATATATATATATATATATATATATATATATATATATATATCATTTAAATAAAATTGTCTTTTCGCATTTGTCTGTTTACTGCTGATTAATAATACCCTACCCTAGATCTATTATTATTATTACTATCTTTGGTCTTTGTTTCACATGTTCCAATAATTGTTTATCCCTTTTGAGTTCTTTCAGACACATATATATACCCCCACCCTCTCTCTCTCTCTCTACATATATACAATTTCTTCTGTACTTCTTTTATTTCGTTAATTGTATACGTCAGACTGAAATTATATTTTCGTTTCTTTTTCCTTTTTATCTTCTCTTCTTTGTGTTTCTTCTTCATTTCATGATGAGTTTTATTGTTATTGGGCAGGTAGGTAACTCCATTCCTTCTTTTTTTTTTCCTTTTTTTGTTTTTCATTTCTCATTTTTAATAAATATCCATTGACTATTTAATAAAAGTATTAATTAACTTTATTTGACTAATAAATTGTGGTAATATTGTTTATTGAATTGATTTGATGTTGTGTTTTTTTTCTACTTGTATCTTCTCATTGTTATTTAGGACTGCAATTGATCAGTTTCATATCGGTATATGTACATCCTGTACAAATTACCTCAATATAGCCTTAAGTCACAAACTTTTTCAAGCAAAGATGAATAGTGGCTAGCAGGAGAATTCAGTTTGACATGGGTCTCATCATTTTTGGGAATCGTCAGTTGTCACGTCCTAGGTTGAAATCACTTACAATTGAACATCATCCGCAACCTGAAAACAACTCGGTCTTGTATAGAGTAAAATACCATTCATGCAAATAATTAGTTGAATGAAATTAGAATAGGTAAGTAGACGTATAAATAAATGACAAATAGAATGGAATAAGAATACCCAAGCATGAACCATCAAGTTGCTAATAGATATTTAACAGATCAGCTTTAAACTTGTTTAGTTGAGTTAGGATGGCGACAAACTCCACAAGTCAAATCAACTACAAAACAATAATATCACCTGATCAAAGATGACCAATGATGAATTTGTATTAAATACAAAGACAACAAACTACATTGGTTTTCAGACTGATCTATATAGAATCAAGAACAATGAGAAATTGACCAATCAAACCATAAGGATAGAAAAAACACATTTCATTTTACTTGACCTTAGTAATACATAAACAATGTGACCAGTGATAAGCTTATTACACTAACCAATTAATTATTACAAACATGCGTATAGATTAAATTCATTTGGTGTTTTTAAGCAAAGATGAATAGTGGCTAGCAGGAGAATCCAGTTTGACACGGGTTTCATCATTTTTGGGAATCGTCAGCTGGATGTACCTACATCACAGAGTTGATGTTCACTCCGGGACTCGAATCCAGTAAGTATCGTTCAGTTCAAACGCCATCGCATTATCCACTTAGTTAATGACTTCTGATATCCACTTCCTTGTGCAATAGAGTGAAGTTTACATTCACTTGGTACTGTTTTACTCATATCTTCTCATTGTTATTTAGGACTGCAATTGATCAGTCTCATGTTGGTATATGTGCATCCTGTACGGATTACCTCGATATAACTTTAAGTCACAAGCTTTTTCAAGCAAAGATGGATAGTGGTTAGCAGTGGAATCCAGAATAAAGCGCGTTTTGTCCTATTTGGAATTTGTTAACTAGATGTACCTACATCCAGAGTCCCAGAGTGAACATCAACTCTGAGATGCAGGTATATTCGGCTGACGAGTCCCAAATAAGACGAAATGCGCTTTATCCTGGATTCTACTTCTAGTCACTATCCATCTTTGCTTAAAAAGATTATTTATTGAATTTGAAACGATCAGTCATTTGGTGTTGTGTTTTTTACTTGTATCTTCCTATTGATGTTTAGGATTGCAATCGATCAATCTCTTAATGGTATCTGTTTATCCTGTGTGGATTATTTCGATATTGTCTTAATTCACAAACTTTTATAAGTAAAAATGAATAGTGGAATCCAAGATGAGTGTTTCATCCTATTTGGCACTCCGTCAACTGGATTGGACTGCTAGCCACCATCCATCTTTGCTTAAAAAAACCTTAACTTAGGGTCATATCGAGGTACTCCGCACAGGACGCGCATATGCCGACATGAGACTGATCAATTGCAGTCCTAAATAACAATGAGAAGATATGAGTAAAACAGTACCAAGTGAATGTAAACTTCACTCTATTGCACAAGGAAGTGGATATCAGAAGTCATTAACTAAGTGGATAATGCGATGGCGTTTGAACTGAACGATACTTACTGGATTCGAGTCCCGGAGTGAACATCAACTCTGTGATGTAGGTACATCCAGCTGACGATTCCCAAAAATGATGAAACCCGTGTCAAACTGGATTCTCCTGCTAGCCGCTGGCCGTCATTATTCATTGTGTTCAACCACAACAAAAATCAAAATAATATCTCCATTAATGTAGAATAATATCATCTAACTGAGATACAGAGCAATACTATGGGATCTAATTAATCCAAATGAGAAAATCAATATCCGTCAAGTTATGTAGGACATTTAGTAATATTAGGAGTTCCCCTGTTTATTTCGACATCAGTCACATTATCTATTGATTAAGGTGTGTTCTTTTTTTAAAAAATTAAACAACATAACATTGTTGTTCAATATTCAATCCTAGATCACTTGATTGATGACTATATGAAATACACTTTGCAATATGCATATCATTGTTAAAAGGCTAAATAATAAAAGTCTCATCTCTTTTATACATTTGGTGTGAATTACAGTCTGATACACAAATGTTTGATTGTTTATTTTAGTGTCCTTTAGTGACAGATACCTGATTGATCTATAAAAACAAGAAGTTAATCCATTCAATGTGTTATACACTCTGGTTCCATAACAAAAAACACATTCAACTTTTAGTAAGACATACACCAATTTACACTTGGATTATTTTCGTGGAGAACTCGTTTACTAAGCAACGGAACAACCTTCCATCTTAGTATAGAATAGATGGTATTTAGCAAGTAATGAGATCCAAGATGCACGTCCCTTCCTGTTCGAGACTCTTCAGCCACATATACCTGCATCTTAGAGTTAATGTTCACGCCGGGACTCGAACCCAATAGAGCTGTTTGCTTCAAGTGCCATCGCTTTATCCATCTAGCTACTGAGTTCAAATAAACAATCACTTGTGCAACTAATATGAGTTTTAACTCAATTTGAAATGAATTAACTGCATCACTTTACGATGTTCCACTGCCTTGTGGGTCAGACCTTCAGGTCGAAGGCTCCGGGTGTGGCCCCCTTAGAGAAACACCTGCTTCGGTTTGGGCACCCGGTCAGTATTACAGCCTTCACACATATCAAATGAGATTTGTGTGGCGCATATGTATTTGGTGCCTCCTTGTACCAATATCTATGTATTAAAAGAAATAAATCAGGTAAGTAATCTAAGATATCATATGGTTAACTATCGATCTATTTGTTACTATTAGTGTATTTGAGATCGATAGTTTCCTAAGTATGATGTTTGAAATATTCAATTTTTAGAAGGATCAGATAGAAAATTACATCCTTTTACATACTTATTTAAATGTTCAGTGAATAAAATATGTTTGCATATTGAAAATGAAGTACTGAACTAGTATTTTGGATTAATGTTGGAGACGTTAGATCCCCAGAACTTACTTGGGAAAGAACCTAATTTTGTAGTTTTATTTAGAAAATTCGAATTTCTTCGTTTTCGCACCAAAAGCACTCTTGTCACCTTCATGTCGTATTTCCCACTAGGAAATACTTTAAATGCTATTGATCCGTTGCGTCTTTTAGTATTCTATTTGGTAACTCTCCCCAAGAACGGTTTTGTACTGTATATATACGTTTGAATTGTGTTTGTTGTTATCGCTCGTTTCTGGCTGTTTGCAGAATATGCTTCCCATTC